ACAATGTATTAAATATTCAAACTGCAAAACAAAAATCACAAGGGAAACAAAAAAGTTTCTAAAAAGAAACTAGATTACAGTTTAAATTGGATAAGCAAAAAAATTATAAAATCAGTTAAAAATAATAGTGTGGTCATCGGGTTCAACTTTTTTCCAACCCCCTGGTTAGGTTAGGTTAGTTAATTAGCGACTAATTATGAAACCAAGTCTAACTGTTTTCGATTGTCCTAACCGATTTTACAATTTTTGCAAACTGGTTTTCGGGTTTCTCGGGCCGCAGCTATATTTTGACTTTCACGGGTAATTTTTAAGGTTAATTTTCAGTTAATTGTGCGATGGTTTACATTTTTGCCTTCTAATTTTGCCATGCCAACTTCACGTTTGCATTTTGATGATCTCAATACATTAGATTAATGTATGATGACGTTATATATAATAAAATGATCGTTACAAATGTGATACTCCATAAACCAATGCACAAAAACTTTTAAACAATGTCAAAAGTCATGGTAAATCTCGAAATTGCATGTGATGTATTAATGTAATTAATCAATTACAGGCAGTCATTAATACAATGTACTTAATTTTCATTTTAAGTTCTAAAACTTGGACATCGATACAATCTCCAATTCACAGATAAAATGAAGCATAAGTTGAAAAGTAGTGTCGCAAAACATTGACGAGATGATTTTTTTTAATTCACTTTTTGGTTCTGTGTAGCTACATATAAGCACGTTTCAAATTTAATTTTTCAATAACATATATTTAACGGAACTTATCTGCCAGTGTATCCAATAATTGTATAACTACTTGCCGCATGATTTTCTTTAGAAAGGTTATCAATATATCACGGGGTCTACCTACTCATTTTAACTTTATATTGTTCGTCACCGATAACGATCTAAAGGTTCACTTTTTGCTCCGAGCCTTCGCGTGAAAGCGTTTAATATGTCCCGCTCTTATAGTGGTGTACCTACTTTTATTATGCGTTCAGTCGATGTAATCGCCTTCGTTTGCTTCGGCATATGCAACCGTAACCGATGTACGAAAGTACAGTAACATCCAATGAAAAATGGACCAAAGAAAGGAACCTAACCAACAGGACGATTTTTTTCCGAATATTAATAGGACACTTAAAATCAAAATATTTTAATGAAGTCAAAACTTCATCAAACTGAATACTAAAATTAATTAATTAATTAGATTCATCATCATCATTGAGTCGTCAGTCCTAAGAGTGGTTGGATACGCACCTCCGCTCTTTCCTATACTGAGCTAATTTTCGCATTTCCCTAAAACTAAAACAGTAATCTACGAGGATAATTTTAAAAATTCTCGGCCTAACGGAGGTTTGAGGGTAGTATGTAAATAAATAAATTTGTACTTATTCCATAGCTTCATTTTCCATTTAATCGTATGACAAGTGCCAATGTGATAGGTTGCTTAATTATTTTTCCACGATTTTTTGTTCCAGTGAATCTACTTTTCTCCCGAAATATGGAAAAAAGTGAAATAAAAGCCGTGATTAAATATTCCATCAAAACAAAAAAAACAAATTGACGCCATGCTAAATCAAGGAAGACATGGATAACTCATTAGCTGAATCTGCGCCGTCGTATTCCACAGTAAAAGAAGTGGACATTAGATTTTCTTAAACAAGGCATAGAAATGTGTCGAAGATGACCCAAGGAATAGTAGGCCGTCGACGTCCGCCAAGCCAGAAATCATCGACAATATCTACAAAAATGGTTTTAGATTAGAAGACCAAAGATTGAAAGTGCGTTAAACTGACGAATTAGGAATAAAGGTGTCAGTAAGATGGGTGCCGCGTTTGTTGACCGCCGACCAGAAACTCAACCGAGTTGAAACCTTAAGAGAGTCTCCGGCGTTGTTTCGATCAAATACTTTATAACCACTGATGAAGCTTGGATTCGCCACTATATTCCTGAGTCAAAACTGCAGTCAAAACAGTAGAAACAGCGATTTACCCCTACAAAAAAGTTCGTGAATAACAACAGGGATTTACCAAAAAGAAAATCCTCTTTCATCAGGATAATGCATCGGAGCATAAGTCAATTGTTTGTTTGTTTCGAAGTATTAAACCAGATTCAATAAGTGTATTGAGACATGGGAGAAAAATAAAATATTCTTTTAATTTTATTTTCTTTGTTTTCTTGGTCGGGCAGAGAATTTTTCAAACCGCCCTGATCATGTAAGTCTATTTCTACGTCATGCCCTTCATGTCTGAGAAGGTGACGTACTAGCCCTACTTAACTTTCATTTACTTCCATAGTTCCTGTGTTTTCTTATTCTTTTTAAAATTCCCTCAATACCAACCTTCTCTATCCATGATATTCTAATTATTTGCCTGTAACCACATTTAGAACGCTTTTAATTATATCTTGCATACGAAAATTTTAAGATTGTCGTTCAATTAGGGACCGAGTAGGATATCCCAACAAAAATCATAAATTTGAAATCTTTTGGTCTTATACAGCATTCATGATATGATAGTCACAAGCTTAAATGACACTCTTTTTCTTAACTTTAATTTTAAATTTCTCAAAAAATATCTCAGAAAATTTTAAGAAGTACCCCAAAATAAAAAACATATTCATCGTCTAGATGTTATATCATGAAATCAAAAAAGTTCAGGTTTTCTTACTGTAAAAACCAAAACCCTTCAGTAAATTATTTCCTTCCTAGGTACATATATAAAAAATATTTCATACAGAAGAGAAAACACCTGTCCTTGTTTGTACCTGCTATGAATCACTAAGAAGGTGACATATAGTACATATTATAACTTTACAAATGTGTTTGCTTAGTTTATTTTGACGGTAGTGTAGATCGGTCCAAAGCAAGTCAGGCCGTTCCCACAGAAAAAATTCTGAAACTCTTACACGTTCAACTGATTCCATGACGATAAGGTTTCACAGAGTATGAAGGTAGACCTTTACACTTATGTAATGTCACATATCTGTATGATAAGGTTTATTTTAAACGATATGTAAGCTCTAAGCTGTCACAACCGACTGCTCTCAATTCCAAAATGGTATTAAAATTATTAGAAAGGTTCAGGATATATCACAGTATGTCCCAGGGGCAATTTTTGCACAAACGAATCAATCCTATATACGAACCCTAGAAGGTCACATATGTATATACAACCCCAGTATCTAAACATTTGTAGCTAATTTGAAGTAAATTTGTAGTAAAAGAATTAATTTTATAGATTTTGAGCCTGTAGATCTCGAAAAATAGAATGATCTGCTGGCATGATGTCATACTATCAGATCACATAATACGTTTAGATATGTAATATCCTATCACATGTATAAACATAAATTAAATCTACCTTATGGGGCCTCGATGAAGTAAATCGGTTTGGAAATACTCTCGGTAAAATGAAAAATATAATAATAATAATCCTCTTACCTAATTATCATAATTAACAATAATTTTTCCTAATGGGGCCACATACGGCATTCCTAATGATGGGCAAATGCGACAAGGCGTTATATGCCCCTTCCTTGCCCCGTGGGACAAGAAATAGTGTGGCTACCCAATTAGGGATCCTATCTGCACCCCCTCAAAATTCTAGTCGGGCATTATTCGGTACCCGACCGAATCCTAAAAAAAGTGCCGAATCCAGACCGGGTACCCTCACGCATCCCTAAATTGGACACAAAATTAATACAATTAGAATGATCATGCGACCGATCGAAATAAAACTTGGACGTGTTGTCCAGCATGACGAGAACGAACGAGAGTCGAGGTATATAAAGGTATGTTTTAGTCGAGTTTCCACGTTCACAGAAGAGCGCCGCCAAGGTCGACCAGCAGGTCCCATCAAACAATGCCCGCCCCTTAAATTACAAACGAACAACAAAATTACATTACAGGCCACGTACGGTACCTACTCCAAAATTAAATGTTGAGAACTCGGCAAAAACGTGATCGCTGTTGCCGCCGACGCCCGACAGCGGTCTCGCGAACGTCGGCGATGGTTAGTATGGCATGCATGCTATGCTACCTTGCGACCAATGAACGAGCGGTCGGAGGATATTATCGAAACAATAATCGAGAAGGTATATGAGTACGTAGTAGTACAACCACACGGTGGCTGACTGCTTCAGCCAACGACGAGGACGCTCATGTGAACATAATTATGATGATCCATCCGCGGAGAAGGACATTCGAAAAGAGTTTTAAATTGGTAGTGGAACCAAATGAATAATCTGCATGCTTGCTTGTTGGCTGGACGAATTGGTTACGAAACACTTCTCTTGGTTGGCTATTTCTTTCACTGTTGCTACACTGAAGAAATCGAAAAGTTTAATGCTACCTGGATACACATGTAATATAGTAGCGATGATTTAGTTGCTGATGACGAATGTTGACGCTGCCGTAAAAAATTCATTATGCATTACTTATACAAACTTATAACCAATCGATTTCTAAGAAAATGTAATGAGAAATAAGTCATTTGTCGAAAACATGAGTAAATTAATATACCTATACGAGAAGAGTAAAATTCTTGGAATCTCAAGTCATTTTCGACTACTGAAAGAATCAAAATTTAATATTTTGAAAAGTTTATGAATAATACACCTATGTAGGTACTTGTAAGGGTAAAACGCTTAAAAATTATGTTATCCCTCTATTTGATCCCCCTAAGNTAATGAATAAAAATAAATATCAGTAAATAAATGATCAAATTGAGGAATTAAAAATCAGTAAACCAGTTGTTGATTTTTTGCGACAAACTATTAACGTAGAATAGCTGTCATGTTTACTAAATTTCTTTCTAAATAAGTATGAGCGCAATATAACGTCATATGAACGATATTTTATGCATTCGTACATTTACAAAAATTGTCTGTAGTTTGATGACGACATTACATGAATAAAAGTTTATGCAAAAAATGAATTATTACGATTATACACGAAATTGCATGAACATGCCGTAATATTTATGAAGAAAAAAAAACTTCTTTCTAAATAAGTATGAGCGCAATATAACGTCATATGAACGATATTTTATGCATTCGTACATTTACAAAAATTATCTGTAGTTTGATGACGACATTACATGAATAAAAGTTTATGCAAAAATATTAACTAATGTGATTATACAGAAAATTGCATAAACATGTTGTAATATTTATGAAGGAAAAAGAAGTGATTTTCATTACTACATCTTTACACCAAATTTATGTTACACAAATTGTAAATTTGTTGTAAACTTTTGGTAAATAAAACGGTTAAGATATGATTCATTTTAAATACAAAAAGAATAAAATATAATACACACGCGTCTCATCTTTTCAATATGGCTGCCGATTACTTTTTCGCTTGAGTGCCAGTTTGTGTGCCGGGGAAAAATACTATAAATTAAAGCATAAAATCAGTGTGTATTCAACAATTATACCTACAAAGTAAGTATTATACTATTAATATTAAATATATCTTGTTAAGTATTCACTATTTGTACTTGTTGTGTATTTAGCACTAATATTATAAATGCATAACGAAATTTAATAACTATCATATTATAATTTCAGACAATGGATCTGCTTCTCATCATAATACCCATTCTTTTTGTAATTCTTTTCGTCATCTTTATGATTAGGTTTGGTTCAAAAAGAAAAATGAATAAATATTTAGTTGAAGCTAGACGTACCGAATATTTGCATAAACTTAAACAAAATTGTTTATCGAATAATAATTGTGTAGAACCGCCAGTCAAATCTCATAATCAAGATGGTGTCAATGCGATTAACTTCAAGAATAACTGTGGAAATGCTATTAATAGTGATATTGATGAAAGGTTTGTAAATATTGGAAACGTTGAAATAAGTTTTTAATTTAAATAAGTTTTAGTGATAACGATAGTGACAATGTTGAAAGTTTTAATGACGATAACGAAAATGATAAAACTAATACGAATCGTAGTGATGATTTCGAGGATAATTTTTATGAAGATTCTAGTGATAGCTCTAGTTCTGAAAATAATTATTGTACAATTGATGAATTTCGCGATGAACTCGTTTCAACTTTTCTCCAAGTAAATATTAATCATATTCAAGGTGATCAAATCCTCACAACCCTTCGTAAACATCATTGTTTCCAAACGTTGCCTCGTTCAACTAGATCCTTATTACATACCCCTCGTAAACATCATACTACTATACCCATGGACCCTGATGGTGAATATTATCATATTGGTTTTAAAAAACAAATAATTGAGAAATTACAATTACTTTCTGCAACAGAAATCCCAAATTATTTACAGATAGACTTACACACAGATGGAATGTCTATTCACAAAAGTACAGGCATCCAACTGTGGCCTATCCAATTTCGTATAGTCTCTATTTATAATGATAGTCCCGAAATTATTGGTATATACAAAGGAAAAAAAAAACCTTCAGATCCTGTACAATTTTTTCAATACTTCATTCAAGAATTTCAAGAAATTGAGAACACTAATGGAATTGAATTTAAAGGAAAACTTATTCCTATTTTTTTAAGAGCATTTATTGCTGATGCCCCAGCGAGGGCGTTCATACTGAATCATAAAGGCCATAACGCAGCTCGACCATGTTCAAAGTGCATAGTTGAGGGAAAAAAGATAGAAAAAACTATGTGTTTTACTGAACTTAATTCTTGTTTACGTTCTGATCTAGACTATATGAATGCGGTTGATAAAAAACATCACAGTCAAAAGAATCAATCTGCTTTGAAATCAATAAATTTTCCCATGGTAACATATGTTCCTTTCGAATATATGCATCTTATTTGTCTAGGAGTAGTTAAAAAATTTTTAACAGCAATAATAACAAATCAATATGATTTTAAAAAATTGACAAAATCTGACATAAGTAAAATAAATTCTAATATTTTGTTATTACAATCATATTGCCCTACTGAATTTGCTCGTCGTCCACGTTCTATTGATGAATACGCAAAATTTAAGGCAACAGAATATCGTCAACTATTACTATATACTGGACCTGTAATTTTTTTTAACATTTTGAAAGGCGATTCCTATTTACACTTCCTTTTACTACATTCTGCTTGCAGAGTTTTACTAATGTCAGGTCCTAGCGAAATTAATCTTGAATATGCAGAAATCGCTTTAAAAGTCTATGTAGAGTGTTGTGAAAGTATTTATGGACAAACATTTATGAGTTATAATATCCACGGGCTGCTGCACGTTGTTCAGGACGTTAAATTGCTTGGTCCAATGGATTCATACTCAGCATTTCCCTATGAAGACAATATGTCTTTTTTTGGAAAATTTTTTCGAAAGCCAAACCAACTACTTCAGCAATTACATCGACGATTGACAGAAAGGAAACATTGCCATAAAAGCAAACATGAACAATTTGAAATTCAGCCCTTGTACCAGCATCACCATGGACCACTAACCGAAAATATAAGCGGCGATTTCATACAATTCAAAGGATTGAAATTTGAACATTTTCGGATTATGGCAGGAAGCAAACGTGATAGCTGCTTACTATTGAAAAACGGGATCATTTGTGAAGTTCAAAATATTATTAAGGTATCATCCAATCAATACGTTTTAATAGTGAAAGAATTCCATAATATCACACATTTTTATGAAATTCCTTACACCATTACTTCCTCTCATGTTGGGGTATACAAATGTTGTAATTTATTAGAAGCAATGACAACGATAAATTTAAATGAAATTTATGCTAAATGCTACAGAATTCCTTTTCACAACAATGAAGGGATTAATGACGGAACTTTCATAGTTGCAGCCTTTCTCTCATATTAGAATGTTATTAAATATTACATATGATGTTTAATGCACAGATTATTATTATAAGAAATACTTAAATTTTTTACAAGCATTTTTATGAAAAAATTTTTTAGATGTATGTATATATAAATAATAATNATATAAATAATAATATATATTTTAAAAGGTATGTCTTTTATAAAAATCCGTAGACAATATAATCATTATAATTTTTAAAATAAAATATCCACGTGTAGCTTCTGAACAACCGACAAACAGACCGACGGATTAATTGTTCGAATTTATATGGCAGTGTCTATATATCTATATATATACGTAGCTATCGTTATACCTACAGACATTAGATGTATTCTTTCTAAAAAATATTATGTCTGCCATAGACGTAAAGACAATAGTCTCTTCTATTCATAAAATTAAAACGAAAAATATTGAGATTTCTGCCGCCACATTTTTTGTTTCCCGGTCATCAGTCTCCGATTAGATTTCAACCTGACAAGTTATTTTCATAGAAATTTTTTAAAAAAAGTGTTGGTGATTTTCCAATAAAGTTGCAGTTTTTAAAAATGGACAAGTAAGTTACAAATTGTATATATATAGTTTTGTGACCTAACAGGAAAACTCATCATGTAATAAAATAAGTCTTTAAGTCATTATACATAATTGTTCTTTAATTAAATGTTAATAGTATTTTTCTATCATCTTTTATGTGGCAGTGTTATGGATTATGCTAATGAACAACAAACTAATTTAGTTTATCAATCTTTTCCTGCAAATAATAATGGAATAAATCCAACAGGTAAAGTGTACCTATTGATTTGATTTCTATCAAATTTTATTGTAAATATTTCTTTACGAATAAATTATATATATTATTGATTAAAAATACGTATGGTGTGGTTTTTCAGAAACATCAGTAATGCAAAGTAATGATTTAAATAATAAAGAGTCAGTAATATATACTGATCTAACAGTAAATCATAATCGATTCAGTACAGAAGCTGGACATTACCCATCTCATGAAAATTATGGAAATAATGCACAATATCACAGTCCATTTGATGAGGTGTTGATGTCATTGGCAAAAATAGAGTAAGTATTGTCATAAAATTAGGGCGCTTATTTATCTTATATCATATCATAACTACATATATAGTACAATTAGTGCAAATATTTCAGAACACGATTGACAAATATCGAAAAACTCTTAAGAAATTCGAACGACACGTATGAGGATGATTTCAATTTTCCGCCGGGTTTTCCTTTGAAAACTTTAGAAGAATTCGACAGCTTTGAAAACGAAATCAATGAAGATAGACGACAGAAGATGGTAAACATCTAAATATAATTAGTGTAGTATACCTGATAAAATGTGATTATTACATTGTCATTAAATANAATAATTTTACTATCAATTATTTACCATCATATCATGAGTTAAAATTTACTTAAATATGATGAAAAACATTTCTGCATATGATACAGTAAATCTTACCTTAATTTTACTATCAATTATTTACCATCATATCATGAGTTAAAATTTACTTAAATATGATGAAAAACATTTCTGCATATGATACAGTAAATCTTACCTTAATTTTACTATCAATTATTTACCATCATATCATGAGTTAAAATTTACTTAAATATGATGAAAAACATTTCTGCATATGATACAGTAAATCTTACCTTAATTTTACTATCAATTATTTACCATCATATCATGAGTTAAAATTTACTTAAATATGATGAAAAACATTTCTGCATATGATACAGTAAATCTTACCTTAATTTTACTATCAATTATTTACCATCATATCATGAGTTAAAATTTACTTAAATATGATGAAAAACATTTCTGCATATGATACAGTAAATCTTACCTTAATTTTACTATCAATTATTTACCATCATATCATGAGTTAAAATTTACTTAAATATGATGAAAAACATTTCTGCATATGATACAGTAAATCTTACCTTAATTTTACTATCAATTATTTACCATCATATCATGAGTTAAAATTTACTTAAATATGATGAAAAACATTTCTGCATATGATACAGTAAATCTTACCTTAATTTTACTATCAATTATTTACCATCATATCATGAGTTAAAATTTACTTAAATATGATGAAAAACATTTCTGCATATGATACAGTAAATCTTACCTTAATTTTACTATCAATTATTTACCATCATATCATGAGTTAAAATTTACTTAAATATGATGAAAAACATTTCTGCATATGATACAGTAAATCTTACCTTAATTTTACTATCAATTATTTACCATCATATCATGAGTTAAAATTTACTTAAATATGATGAAAAACATTTCTGCATATGATACAGTAAATCTTACCTTAATTTTACTATCAATTATTTACCATCATATCATGAGTTAAAATTTACTTAAATATGATGAAAAACATTTCTGCATATGATACAGTAAATCGTACCTTCATATGTGCCTCATGTGTTTCCATCATTTCAATGTCTTAAATGGTATGTCTATTTTACGTAAATTACGAAAGTAATTCAATTTACGAAAAGTTGTCTTCGTGTTTAGTATTCGTTTGAATCATGAAATGTAGACAATATGTTACAAATTTTTACGTTCACAAGGTGAGCAACCTTTACACATGTCATGATGATACGAATAGTAAATTTTTCGTAAATATGAAGTAAATGTGGCTATCGGGGCAGTTCTCCCAGCGGTCCGTGTATAACCCTTTGGAAAACTCTCTGTTTACGACATACTGATAAAAACAGAAAGATTCAAAAGCGCTGTCTAAATGTGGTAGCTTCGACGCAATTCTAAACAAAAATGTGTTGTTCATAATTTGATATGTTTAAATATCTATTTATATGGCTCCTGTACGATAAATGTCAGACGTTCANCACAATCAAATTAGTTTTGAAAGTTTATTCAACTTTCAAGGGGGGCGGCTTGTTAAGAGTCTTTGTTATGAGTATTACTTTGAAATATTTTGGAAAGGAATTTGTTTCGGTTGTAAAATTTATTTATTTATTTGGGTACCTACAACATTTTGTAAACCATTGTTTGGTCACGTAGTTGTCCGACCAAGGGAAGTTGAACAACCCCAATTATGTTGTTACCCGCTGTTATGCCATCCGCACCCCTCCGGTGTCATTTAATTTTGTACCATAGCAGTAAGATAATTTTAAGTAATTTGTATCAGTCAGTCTTTAGTCGTCTTAGTTATCAGTTCTCGAATAATTAGAAATCATAGTTTAGGAATCATAGTCATCATCTTTGTAGTAACCATCATCAACATTTCGTCATTATCACCCTAATTCTAAGCTGTATATATATTTTATATTAAAATATTAATTTAAATTCTACGAAGTGTTTTTCTTACAAAAAAAACATCTCGAAAGTAGAATAGAAGTGGCACAACTGTGCAAGGCAAAATCTTACATAACAACCTGAAATATTACACAAAGTTATATTGGTCAAAGAACACACATCACAGTACGCTATCCTCTGTTTTGTATCTCTACTGCTTCTTCCATCCTGACTTATCCGACTTCCTACACGGAGAAAATGAAGAAGGAAAATTTACTTAAATATTAAAGCGATATTTACAATTTATCCCACTAGTCCGTTGCTTCGTATGCGAAAATAATAAAAATTAAAATTTGGACTCGAATTTGTAAAAATCAAATCCCAGCAGAAATAAATTTACTAGGTATTTTAGTTGATATTACAAATTTAATTGTATCTAATAATTAGGAAACTTGATAAAATTTCTAAAGAAACATGTGAAAACTGAGATTATCACAAGTTACCTAATAAATTCTACTATTTCTACGGCAAATTCAGTCATTTACAATCGAAAATTGTAATTTTTGCGTTGTCGTAAAAATTCAGTGTTCTCCGTGTAGATAAAGATAATCAGCCGCTTCTTCTAATTTTTCGTCTCCTATCTTTATATTCGCTCTTTCCCTACTTTTCTTCCCTTGCATACCAGTATGTTTGTTTTATTTTTATTAATAGTACATTAAAATACTATCCACACAAATTTTCAACAGATTAGACAATACTACAATAACTGCTCTGATAATAACATTATTATGTCGTTTGTCCTCTTCCAATCATCTCGATTGGACAGCGCCAAGGGGCAAATTAAATGGTAGGAAAGTTGCACAGCCTGTTGTAGCACCGTACTAATGGTTTTTAAAAGGATTTAAATAAGACTTGCTTATAAAACGCTTTTCATTTATACTATAACAGACGACAGCGGCAACTGAACGAACCGGTTTCATAGCAAGCAGCAAGGCAAAACTACGAATAGATGGAGAAAAACGATTCAAACAACAAAAGTATGTAATTATTGCAAATTGCGGATTATTTTCTTCTCCCAGGTTGTTTTACTCTTTATATTCAGCACACACAAAACCTATAAAATTAAAGGTTAACAATAGTAATCAAACTCATCAATTAACCTTGCTAATACTGGAAATACTTTTATTCTAACTTATTTTAAATATTGAGCTGGATGCTCAAGGAAAGAAAGTATAATTTTATAATTATTATAATTTAACATATCGGATGTAAACGCATCATGTTCGTATGGTAATAGTTCTTTCAGAAGCACTTGAAAAGCATTCAAATATGCCTACTTTAGGAAACAAATTCGTTTACTAAAACTTTTTAGAATGTACATTTGAGATTATGGAATAATAATTAGGCTTATTATTTTTTCCATAGACAGTTACATTGGTAAGTCCTACGTATCTTGAAAACTAGTGATGCACAAAGCAAGATTTCTTATCTTGCATCTTAACTTCTTATCCTTTTTTGCTCAACAAGTCAAGAAGTTGTTATGTACCTATTTTAGTTCCTTTGAAATAAAAGAACGTCATACATTTAAATTGTGTTTTTTGAAATGAAATTTCTTTACGCAGGTTAAGGTAGGTTCGTTTTATGCGAGTTGCTATATAACGAAATCATGCAACGCATTTCCCCCGCTGTCTGTCCCTATGTATGCTTAGATATTTAAAACTACGCAACGGATTTTAATGCGTTTTTTTTTTAATAGATAGAGTAATTCAGGAGGAAGGTTTACACGTATAATACATGCATAATTTAGTAGAGAAACACTGATAATTTTAGAGGTTTGTTATGTGATGTCGTAAATAAAAACATTTCTTGGGCTTACATTGCAAACGCTGGCTGAACCCTACGTGATAGATCAAAATAATATACTACAGTATTGTATACCTTTTAAATATATTGTGCATTTAATATAGATCAATATGGCACTCTACAGCATGTAATTTAAATGAATGTTTTCGAAGATATTACAGACTTAATATGCATAGTGGTTGCGGCTGTACCGGCCGGTTTGTATTGTCTTATGACAAAAAAGCTGTGATTGTTGTATATAAAGACATTCTATAGTATATTTACTATCAGCATTGCACCCGTGCGAAGCATAGTGTACAAATAATACCATTAAACCAATTCCTTATGCCCTATTCCGGTATGTTTGTGTGTTTGAAGAAGTTTCACTTCAGCAGCGTGTTGTATAATTACACGTTGTATTTTTTTAAGCTTGTTTGTTTTCGCATTTTATTTTGAAACATTATAAACTTATACCCAAAAAGCAAAACTTCTTACTTCTTGAAAAAAACTCTTGCTCTTGCTTAGAGAAATTCTTGTTTTGTTTTTCCTTATAAAAAGGAACACTGCTATATTTAAATGCGCCTGAATTAAAGTATAAAAATTTTGTTAACACTAGGAATACTAAAACGTAGATTGTATGAAGAACATATACAATATATTTATAAAAGAGCACATTATGTTAATAATAATGTGACTGCCAACATAATTTGCAATTTAAAGATATTCCTGAAACTGCAACAATAAAAAAAACTGGTTGGCAATTAATATATTCCGAATTCTTTGCGCTGTAAAGATTTCATTCAAATGCAATGATATAAATAACAAATACTCCGAAAAATGAAATGATAATTCATTTAAACGTATTTAAACATGAAATAAACATCACAAATACACCTAATTAACTCCTCACATTTCTCATGTATGATTTTATAAAATTAATTTATACAATTATCCTTTATAATACAAATTGTAGTTATTCAAATAAGCGACTTTATACACGAATTAATAGATTATATACAGTGTGTCTCCTTAAGTTGACAGCATTTGGGATTATTAATTTTACGAGAAAAGGTTAGTTTTTATAAAAAGTCCTGCATGGTCCAAAACATATAATGACATCATCAGACTTAATAATTTATCAGTCATATATAAGTTTTAAAATAGCTTTATAT